GGACTGGGAGTGAGGACAGGCAGGGGGGGGGGGGGGGGGGGTGGCTAGCATACTTTTGGCCTTGGGCTAGTCTCCCTTGCATTCCTATTGGCTGAGATAAGGGCAGGCTGAGTAACTGATACATTCTGTGGCTTTTTCTTGGAAGAGGGGTTAGGGACACAGCTATCAGTCCTGTTCTGTCCTTTCATTTGAGCCTCCATGCTACCTTTCTTCTCCCTTCTGCTGGCTGGATACAGAGGAGGGCCTGGGAGAGGTGGTGGAGCTATAGATAGATGGAGCCAGTGTCCTTGACTAATGGTGCATGTGGCTGTTTACTGACCATTCTCAGTGAAATGTATTGTGAATGAGATAAACTCTTCCTGTGTTAACCCCATGAGATTTTTATAAATATCTGTGTTTTTGCTAAAGCCGTGGGCTTACTTGCCTAATACCTAGGTCTAACTGAATGTAGAGTTGGCTGCCCGTGCCCATGATGGGACAGAACAACTGATGGGACCATTGGGGGTTATAATAAGAGAAATTGGGTCATATGGATGGAGAACAAAAGAAAGCAGAGCCCTCAGGTGGGTATAACGGTTTATTTGGCAAAGACTTGAGCCTTCTCAGGATAGAGAGGTCAAGGAAAGAACAGAGAGGAGCCCATGGGTATTGCAACAGGGAGCCAGGCTGCACTCTTCTCAGACCTTGGAGGCATCCTCCTGCCCCACTCGTGAGGAGCCAGCTCAAACATTGGGTTTCTTTAGCAGTGTTTTATAGGGTTCCCTGGAAGAGAAAAGTTAAGTGGTAAAAAGTCATGGAACCCCAGTGGACATTCATTCCCAACCTTAATAACACCCTTGGTCCCTGTTAATGGGAACAGACATTGTTTCTGTAAGATCAGGAGTTACCCACTTTTAAGCAAACTTACCCAAGAGGTTTGTCAATTGAGTGCAGAACTGGAGACCAGGGTCTCCTTGGGCCTGGCTGAGACAAGGGGCCATTGAGAGGCCCGACTAAGGCAGCAATAACTGGGGCCTTGGACAAAGGTAGGATTAAACCTACTGATGGATGATGTTTCTGGGGAACTTAATGAAAGTGAAAAAAAGAGTAGAGGCCCCCATGTTGGTAATTTGGTTTACTTTGCAGTGAGTGGCAGCCTAGGTGTGGAGATCTGAGGGCATTGCCTTGTGCTGCCTGTCTCTTTGACCAAGGATTTGGGTGACTGCAGTCTTCTGTTCCAGGTCACATCTTCTGAATGGGAGTGAGGAAGCACACCCAGGCCCACCATTCCCCTCCCCCCACAACCAACTCACTCATTGTTCAAGCAGATGTTTCCACAGAAGGTCCAGCAGCATGTAAAATTTGATTTTAAACATCCGTGTACCCTAGTGCATCTTACGCTGCAAAACTGTAACGGAGGCTGTACCCAGCACTGCTTAATTTCTTTTATTTCAGCTGAAAGCAAGATGATAGGATTTGGCAGGGTCTATTCATTCACAATTTGGTGAAGAAACCCTTCTCAAGCTTAACAATCTCTAAAGTCTGGAACCTGAGCTCCAAGCCAGAAAGTATTTCTCTGCCTTACAAGAAAATCCCTGCCTTGAATGCTAGCCAGTGTCTTTTTAGAAGAGATTATCTTTGCATGATGTGACTTCCATCTTTCCACGTGTCCCCATAGCATTGCAGGCCTTCAAGCCCTCTCCAAGCTCCCTAACAATAGGATCTAGGACACCCTCCCCATGTCTGACACCATCTCACCAAATCTATTCTCACATACCTTAGGTTTCAGGACCTGCAATGTCCTCTGGCTCCAATTTCCACAATGGAAATTTGCAGAATGGAAAACTGAGCTGGAAGAGACTAGGAACCTGCCTTTCTCCTCTTCTGTTCTCTCTTTTTGTTTACTTTTATTTTTCACTGTATTCCCTATACTGTCCTTTATATTCCTACTAGAGGCCCGATGCACGAAATTTGTGCAAGGGACTCGGCCCTCGCAGCCCCACCCACCTCGGCTGGCCCTTGCAGCCCCGGCTTCGTCCGGAAGGTTGTTCTGCTGTTCGGTCTAATTAGCATATTAGCTCTTTATTATATAGGATGTGACTATTCTGTAAATACCAATTTGCACTTCTTAATCTCTTTATCTTTATTCCCCAAACCCCT